TAAGCCTCTTCCCCCATTATAATTTGATTGACGGAACCGTACACCAGTTATCTTTCCAAGAAAAATCTTTCTCGTCAACATGAAACTTGAGAAGATGTTGTATTCGTGCCAGGTCTATGTGTTCCCGATGTTTCTCTGTCGTACTACAGTAAGATTGAGCTTATATACACCACTGAGCGACTTCCTTGTAAGGTATAAAATTATGTTTAAAAATATAATGTATACCTCATGCTTACACATGGTACAATCCACTACTAATCCACTACAAAACTTCACCGGTGTCCAGGGACAGGCATTAAGCTGGTTTAGATCGTACTTATCGGACCGTTCTCATTTTGTCTGTTTAAATGGGAAAAAAACAAAGATAACGTCAGTAGACTATGGAGTACCGCAAGGATCGGTTTTAGGCCCTCTGCTATTCTCAATATATATGCTGCCACTTGGTAATATTATAAGAAAACATGGAATTAATTTCCACTGTTACGCTGACGACACTCAATTATATATTTCATCACGACCAGATGAAAACACTAACTCATCTAAAATGACAGAGTGTCTCAAAGATATAAAATGCTGGATGACGCGTAATTTCCTGCTATTAAATTCAGATAAAACGGAGGTATTACTTATTGGTCCAAAAAACTACTCACAAAACCTCTCACAATACAACTTTAATATAGACGGATGTCCTGTTACTTTATCCACTACAGTAAAAGACCTGGGTGTTAAACTAGACCGCAACTTGTCTTTCGAAGATCATATTTCATATGTTACAAGAACAGCCTTTTTCCACCTTAGAAACATTGCTAAGCTACGTAACATGCTATCTGTTTCTGATGCTGAAAAATTAATTCATGCATTCATGACCTCGAGACTAGATTACTGTAATGCTTTATTAGCTGGTTGTCCTGCATCCTCAATAAACAAGCTACAGTTAGTACAAAATGCAGCTGCTAGAGTTCTTACTAGGTCAAGAAAATATGATCATATAACACCGATTTTATCATCTCTACACTGGTTACCTATTAAGTTCCGCATCAAAAAATACTACTACTGACCTATAAAGCCCTAAATGGTTTAGCACCTATGTACTTAACGGACCTTCTTTCGCCCTACAATCCACCGCGTTCCTTAAGATCACTAAATTCAAGGCTTCTGGTCATTCCTAGGATATCGAAGTCCAGTAAAGGAGGGAGGGCGTTCTCGCATTTAGCTCCAAAACTCTGGAATGGCCTTCCCGATACGGTCCGAGCCTCTGACTCGCTGACACAGTTTAAAACTAGATTAAAGACGCTTCTCTTTAGTCAAGCATTCACATAATGCTTACCTTCTAGTCCTCTGTTATGCCATACGGAACCGTTTGCCACTGAAACTGCTTAACGCACCAGTGGGGCTCGACAGCCTTTTAGACAAACGGGTCGGCGCGTATGGTTGGGTTGCGGAGAGTTCGGGTTACGGAGAGTTTGTGAGTTATAACGGAAATCATTATGAACATCAGCTATGCTAATTATTTCCCATCTGCCTTTCTGCTGTTATCTCGGGACACTTGTCTCGAGAAAAATGGCGTTCATCAGGTCCAGTTTTGTGTCCAGCCTCTCACTGGGATTTCGGATTCCCCAACGCCTGTGATGAGACGACTCAACGCCTGTGAAGAGACGACTCAACGCCTGCGATATGTTATGGCGCCGTTTGATTCATAAACAATATTTATATTTAATATTTATATTTAAACAATATGAATGTAAGCCAGAGGAGAACTGGCCCCTGACTGAGCCTGGGTTCTCCCAAGGTTTTTTCTCCATCCAATCTGATGGAGTTTGGTTCCTTGCCACTGTCGCCTTGCTTTTGGCTTGCTTTGAGCTTGCTCAGTTGGGGTTATTTAGTGTTTAGCAATGTTGTTGATTTGTGTTGTACTACTTTCATGTTATCAGTGTGAAGCTGCTTTGATACAATCTGTATTGTGAAAAGCGCTATATAAATAAATGTGACTTGACTTGACTATCCCTCTGTGTATACATTATAGGTAGATTTGCATCAGTTGAAACATTCCTTTCCTTGTAAAAAACGTACAAACAAAAATCATCATCATTGGAATATCTCTGCTCATTGAACGTTGCATTGCACACATATCTCTAAGCAAAATATATAACTCTCTCAACTCAAGAGTCTAAAATATTAAATGAAATATGAATATGTTTTCAATGCAATAGTCTAATTCATGCATTTTAAAATTAATAAGATAATACTAATGAATTCTAATAAAGAATACAGATACATAATTTTAAATAATGAAATTATATTATAAGATGAAATTGTATAGTCTTCAGTATGTTTTGTAAAGTTATTGTGTGTCAAAAAGAACAATAATTGACTATCTTTTTCTTGTGTGTGACGTAATGAATTTAGCAAATGCTAGTAATGAGGAAGTAGGTTTTTTTGTCAGTCAAGAGAAAACTTTTGATAAAGTTGATCATCTTTATTTATTTGAAATTCTTAAAGCATTTGGTTTTGGTGAGAATTGTCTTGGATCAAACTGTTATACACTGGAGCTTCTGCATTCTTAGGTGGGCTATGTTATCCAATGTTAGTTCATTGAGGTATAAGACTGTCCTTTAACAGGACAGTTATACTCTTTGGCAATTGAATATTTACTATACAAACTCAGGGATAAATTGCAAGGGGTTCTTTGTGAAAATAGGCCAATCACTCTTTCGGCCTATGCTGATGATATAAATGTTTTTAAAAGAAGCGATACAGATGTAATGAACTTAAAAAATGCTTTAAAGATTTAAGAAAAGGCTCCAAGTAAATTGGGAAAAGAGTAAAGGATATTTATTAGGAGCTTGGCAATGGAGGGCCCCCCTTATGCTTCCAGGGGGAATTAAATGGAGAAGAGGGGGTTTGAAGATGCATTTTTAGGAAAAGAGCAATAGGCAGAAAAAAAAGGAAGGTATGGTGGAGAAAATGTGTGACCGGTTGTCTGATGGCCATGGGGTACTACCTCAGCTATATTATAAGGGCAGGGTATTTGTCACAAATACTCTGCTGAACCGTGCTGGGCTAATACAGCGCGTGCTGTGTTGAGAAAAATGAATGTCTTCTCAATCTTAATTTATTTATAATGCACAATGAAATCAACGGTGGTTGACCATTGTGCTGAACAATATAATTTAAAAGAACAAACCTAATTTGAAACTCAGTGATTATAAGCCTTTTAAAAAAAGTGATTCTGATGTTATTAATCTAATAGAAAGTGTCAGGCTGTTCCACAAGTCACCTGGGCTTTTTTCTTCAGACTAGATAGGGACCACTAATGACCTTAAACATCTAGCTGGAGTGTTTATACTCAAAATGTCAGAGAGATAAGAAGGATCCAGTCTATTTAAAACTTTAAAAACAAAGAGTAAAGTTTTGAAACTTTATTCTAAAACAGACTGGCAGCCAATACAAAGAGAGTAAGACGGGGGTGATATATTTGTATTTGTGAGTGCCAGTCAGAAGTCTAGCAGCTGCGTTTTAGAATCTTTGTAAACGATTAATATAGGATTGGCTAATACCTGTACATTGAGTTGCAGTAGTATATCGCTATGAGATAAAAGCATGTATAACTCTCTCTATACATCAAGTTATCTCTCGAGTTAACTCTCTAAAAAGACCTTAACCTTAGCTGAAAGAAACTAGATTTAACTACTGCATTTACCTGCTTATCAAATGTCAAAGCTGAATCAAAAACAACACCCAAATTTTTGATAGAGGGGTTGACGTTGCCTATATTTGGTATGTGTACCAAATATATTTGGTACCAAATTTGGTACCAAATATAGACGTTGCCTATATTTGGTCTGTGTTGCCAGAAACAGCCAAAGGGCCGAACACAATTGCCTGAGACTACTCTCATTTAAATTTAAGAAATGTAAGGACATCAAAGCTTTAATATCTGACATCTGTTAAAGTGCTCAAACTCTGGCCATCATTTAGCTTAAAAGGCACATACATTTGAGTGTTGTCAGCATAGTAATGAAACGACACTGTGTTTATTAAAAATGTACCCCAATGGGAGCATATATAAAGAGAATGAAATGGGAGCAAGGATAAATCCTTGAGGAACCCCAAAAGTCAAAACTGATTTAGAGGATGAGGATGATAAAGCAGTCTTTAGTAAAATGAAGGGACTATAGCAAAGGTTTGGGATTATACTGCTGTGATAAAAGTGATAAAGATGAGTTTTAACCTCAAATTCTTCACTGCCTCATCCTTTGGAAATGAAAATAAAACAAATTTATTTTCACAGCAGAGAGGACAGCATCTTGACAACATGATATCCATACAAATGAGCTACAACAAGATGTCCTGTCCACGCAGAACAGGCTGGCATTATGCATATGTAGTAAGTTGTGACGTTAACGAAAGGAGATTTGAACTCCAAACGACTCCAAATAGGGACATTTTAAACTGACGAATAATCTGTAGAGATTTATTGAAATTTGGGCTTTGAATGATCTTTTGTGCACAGTGGATCATGAAAATGAGTTGCTATAAAATTTATGATGAGTTTTTGCCACCGTTAAAAAAAGTTTATATGAGGATTGTAAAATTGTATTCAATAATTTGCTAAATTTATGATGGATTTTGTGTTGGTAGTATGTACTTTTGGAAAATACATATGTGTATGAGATTTGTATTTATTTATTTATTTATTCATATATTTTATATATATATATATATATATATATATATATATATATATATTTCTAATTAATTATTTATTTTGTAAATATAAACATAAGTTTGTTATGGTTAAATATTGGTCTATACAGTGTTATTATAAATAAAGGTGTGCTAAAGGTCAACCCCCCATCACCCCCCCCCCCCCCCTCTAGATTTAGTGACAAACCTGTGAGCCTTTTGTTGAAATGTTAGCCAATACAGACGGATTACGCCACTAGGCAGCAGTGATATATAAAGGGGGCTGTTAGTTGCATTTGTACAGTTGAAAAAGACATGCTTAGGTATCAACATAGAAGCAGGTAGCTGGTAAAAAGATTTGAAAACACAAATAGAAATGCATTAAGGAACGTTCTTGCATTTTTAATAGCCGTCGCTTTGTCCGTAAAATGGAATACATCATCTCCTGAAAAGCGTCTTTATTCCTGTTTTAGATAGCTAATTCGTTGCTCGAATAAAAAATCTCAAGATAAAAACAACAGTGTCTCGCAAAGCCACGAGGAAAACCTTTGGTCCTGACCATTTAAAATCATGACAAGGTATAACTTTTTATTGTGCTTAACGGTGCTTATTTCTTTGGGACTGTCCGGGAGCGACGAGCCGGACCTCTTTCTGCCCCCCGAGAGCGAGATGTCCTCGGATTCTGGAGTCTCTCTTTTTGATGTAGAGGATGTGGACTCTCCTGAGTGTTCCGCGTGCGTTTGGAGAGAACAGAGCAAAGTCTTACGGCTGGAAACAATCAAATCACAAATCCTTAGCAAACTGCGCTTAAAACAAGCGCCCAATATTAGCAGAGAGGTGGTTAATCAGCTTCTTCCCAAAGCACCTCCGCTGCAACAGCTCCTGGACCATCATGACTTCCAGGGGGACGCATCCTCCCTAGATGATTTCTTGGACGCCGATGAGTATCACGCCACCACCGAGTCTGTCATCACCATGGCCTCAGAGCGTGAGTTACAAAACTTATTTCACGCTCAGTGTTTTTTGCTTCCTTTAAATTAATGTATAACCTACGCTACTATTTAAAAGTAGTGTAAAATTGCATTTTATTTATTTGAATATGGTAGCCTATATGTGACAGTTGCGTATGGGTGGTCATGAATGACATTGATTCATAAAAAATACTTGCAAAAAATTGCCAATGTCTAAATATTTTTTAAAGTTTTTTTATTATTATTATTTAGCCTATACAAAGATATTTACACATATATCCTACAAATTTATTTTGCAGCCTAATCTATGAGTGATCATTTTGAAAGCCGTCTTCACTTGGTTATGTCCGTGTAATAATTCAATAATGACAATGTAATTTAAGCCATGACAGGCAGATGGGCTGAATAGCCACGTTCGAACACATTATAGCCTACTAGATTGTGTTCAAAATAAACAGCAGTAGCCTATTGCAGCAGATTATTAATTAGAGAGTTGCATTATAAATGATGCGCTTTAAAAGCAGTTGTGTCACAACCGTAGCATATTGCACAAGTTCTCCTGTCGTTAGACTCTGCTAGACAAAGTGCCCCAAAAATACTATTGTTCACCCTAAATAAGCAGCAGTGCCATACGACAGCACTTGCCTTTTAAATGTGAAGTTTATAGGCATAGCCCGTTTTTTCACCTCAGTGGAGACACAATGCCCGTGGAGGAGTTTTGGGTCGAGGGGAGTGTGTGACCTTTCCGCTGAGAATAGCCGGGGTTCAACAACATTTACACACATAATGTATTCCGCACAAGGCAGATGAAAAGCCAAGCAAATAATCCGTTTTTTTTTTCCTGACCAGACTGAACAAAGATAGGTTTGTGTTCCCCTAACTAACCTCTGCGTTGATTGTCACACAGCCCACGTTCCCGCTGGCACAATGAACACGTTTGACATTCAGGGGACGAATCACATATATGATCATTTAACGGCTGCAGAGCTCATAGATGCCTTTTATAAATAACGTTTTGTTGTCAGAGATTATTGTTGTAGCGGTGCAGTATAAGAGCAGCATGGAAAAACTGATTTATTAGTCATTTATACCAGGATGGTTCAACGAGTGCATTTGCCGATGTATTTACAAACAAGCACTATCACTTTTTTAAATTTGAACTTAGATTTTAAAGTCTTATAAGTTATATTGCAGTTCCAATCATCTTTCTGATCTTTTTAAATTTAGAGGATTCTTGTTGGTTCTTAATCTAAAAGTTCTATTGGATATTGTAGTGTAATCTTTAACAGAAAGCCTTGGTGTGTTGGAAAAATGTATACTGATGAATTCAAGGAAATCTCAATAGGAACAATTAGAGATTTAAAGTCTTTTAAATTCATTTAACCTTTCAGCTTCTTTAGATGTCCTACAGGGATTATACATGTCTAATATTTCGATTTAGAATTAGTTCATTTTATACCTATAAAATACCAAAATATTTGTTTTCATTTAAAGGTTAAATCAAATATCATACAAATTAAACAATCTTCCCAGTCTTTTTTGATTTGAACATTTTCATACTTTGTAATTTTTACAGTATATCATTATTTTTTATCATTATTCATTATTCATTATTTTTCAGCAATCCTTGAAAATGTGTTGTTTCTTCTATTTCCCAACTCTGTATTCTTGATCGTATCCCAATCACTTTAAAAAAAAAAAAAAAACATATGCACTCAAACCACCAAAAATAAGTGACAAATAAAATAGTACATATCAAATTTACGATATTCAATTGTGAAATAGACACGTTACTCGACACACTGCTGCAAGTAAGTGCAGTGGAAAGTGCCAAGTACTAAAATAAGATTTCCCCACTGTTACCGGCTTATATTTTGGATGTCAGATATTGTGGTGGATATTGTGTTTAGATGCACTGGTAGGTTTTGCTCTGTCTCTGTTCTGAATTTGAATGTGTAGAAGATGTGTAGAAGGCAAGAGTAGAAAATCGACCCTTGGAACTCATTTGTCACCTGTCTATTTAGAACATATCTTCCTCCTTTGTCAGTGTGCTTTCATAACAGTCAGTGTTTTTTTTTTTTTTTGTCAGTAATTTGTCGGCTTACACCCTCAACCCCCCTCCCACACAATCACCTACCAATCTCCCTTCTACATCGATTTCACTGACTTGTTTAACTAATTTGTGCTAAAATACATTTCCAAATGGTGGTCACTATGCTCTGCTAACGGCCTGAAAGTTATAAGAGGATGAATTACCACATAAATAAAATTTAAATTGCCATAACTTCTCTTTTTGTTCCCCAAATATTTTACTCTGTAGTATACTCCCAAAGAAACACATTCATCAAGTCAGAGAGGAAAAGGCCTCCTATTGACAAGGAGGGTCAGAGAGTTCACAGCAATGTGATATATTGGATGAGGAGCCAATTAACCTCTTCAGGTCTTTTTCTTTGACCGCAAAAGAGAAGTAGATTAAACACTACTACCCCCACCTAAAATGTCAAAAAAGACGGGTAGGAGATTAAACAACACTACCAAATGCTGCCTCCCCCACCTAAAATGTCTCTTTCTCTCTCACACACAAAGTCACATGCAGACTTATATACACACACATTCACAAACACTAACCCACTAACCACTCCCAACTAGAAAAAAACCCAAAGGTCTTTTATTGTGTTGACCCTATAAAAGGGTAATTTCCTGAAGGTGCAGGAACCATAAACATTAGGAGAGAGAATGCTAAAAAGACAAGACGGTTGTCCGTCCATCCTCTGATCAATGGGAAGTGTGTGGGAAGTTTTTTTTTTTTTTTTTTTTTTTACTATTAATTAACCTTGTGAACACCTGTGTCTGAGACTACTTTCATTCTTTCCTGTTCAAGAGGGATATAATAAAGGAAGAAAGCAAGCTCATGTTGAAAACTTTTCCTTTACTGTTTTGTAATCATAAAATAAAAAGTGAGGAAGTTAAAGTGCTGTAGAAATAACACTAAATGTAGTCCATTTTTTTGGGTGGGGTGGTGTGTGTGTGTGTGGGTGGGGGGGGGGGGGGGTGGAGGTGGTGCTAATAAACGTTCAATGGAACTGAAGTCTATTATACCCTGGGTACAATTTCACTGCTCTCTCAAGAATGCCTCTCTTTCTTTCATTCATTCTCTTTCCTCTTCCCACGGTTCAGTGCTTCTCCTCCACTACTGGAGCAATTCCAGTCCCAGACAAGCAGGTACTGAAGTCATCATTTGCAACAAATAAAACTGTATATTTGCACATAATAAATACAGTTCTTTACAGTAAAAAATAATATACATATATACTGACAACTCAAAAGTTGTGTAGTATTTTGTAGCAAACTTTAAATATTTAAAGACTATGTTATAAAGCTACATAAAACTATATAAAGCTCCTTCAAACTACATTTAAAGACAAAATTTAAAAGTTGCACAAAGAACATAATACATCTGAACGTGAGATATATAATTTGATGGTGATGAAATTGAGGCACTATTATTATTAACAATTGGAGAAATGCTTTTGCTGTATATTGCACTTTACATTTCTCTTGCATTGGGATTGTTGAGGAAGAGGGCATTTTGGGTATTGTCTGGTAATTTGCAACCATCAGAGAGTATATGCGGTTAAATGAAACGCTAAAAATACAAATTTCAGTTCTTTCTCTCATTACAGTTGGTAACAGTCTTGTTGTCCAATAAAACAAGGCAGACTATTTGACCAATTTTCAAAGATGGATCACAACATTACAAACTTTCATTTCAAGCACAGAAATGTATATATATATATATATATATATAATTATTTTAGCTTGGTTAATGGATAATGGTTTATAACACGTTAACAAATATTTAAATAATCCCTATGGGAGAAAACTGTTGAACTGAACTGAATTGAACTGAAGAAGAGAGAAGACGAGGCTAACGGCTTTAAACAGGCTGTTTGCTTTGTTCATTCAGTCAATGATACTGACATGCATAGACATATGCAAATGCATTATCTCATGAGTTTTTGTGAGTATTTTTATATAAAGTGTAAAAAGTAGGTAACATACATTATCGACAAATTGGCAGATAAAATCCTCTACATTCAATTTATTTTAATTTCCTACCGTAGTATGTTGATCTGCCAGTTGTGGGTCTTTCATGCAGAGAACTCTCCTCATGTGTTTGCAATCTGCATTATAATGCATTTAAAATCTAATGGTAATCTCACAATGCTGTTTCAGATAAAATATAATTTAGATAACATTGAATAAATGTGTTTTCGCTGCAGGTTAGATACTGATAATTAATCATTCAAACCTCCTTATCTAATGGTGCAAGTCCTCCTGAGAAGTCGTGTTTACGACATCAGGTCACTTGTTGGAGCAAGATGGTGGTGTAACTTATTTAACTACACAAAAATACAGCACGTTTTTTTAAAACTCTACTTTTAGAAAATTAAGAACAAAGAATCTGTATCAGGTGTGTTTTGCTTTTTAATGTTTTTAATTAATTTATGAAGCCACTGTAAACTTATTGTTAGATATTATATTTTTTTATGACAATGCTATTATATTTTGTGCAGGAATTAGTTTATTTTGTTGTAAATAAAAAAGCTTGACAATGTCACTGCTATTTACCCAATACTGTGGTATTCCACCACGTTTCTCATTGATATACCTCCAAATCGGAAAGATCAGGGCTTAAAGAAAATCCAGAGCTTCCCACTCATATTTATTACTTTGTGGTGGTGTTCATGTGCGTTCAACTAGTAAATATGATCTTTTCGATATGACTTAAGATACGAATGCACCATAAACCTCTCTACTTAACTGAGACTCGCACATTCACCATGTTTGTAGTTTTTTAACAGTTCACCACCTTGGAATTATAAGGTTCTACATTCTGAGCAGTTTTGACACTAGCTTCAAAGTTCGTTTCACTAAATGTACACAACTTAAAAAAAACACCTATTGTAAAAAAAAATGTCACAGAATAAGATTATGTGAATAACTCAATTTTGACATAAATGACAGATAGAACTTCATAATTCCAAGGTGACAAGTTTGTATCCATGCTTGTAGTTCTAATCTATAATCCTTGTCCAACACACAATGTGTTGTGTATTAGCCATTAGAGTGTGCATGGATCTGCACTTTGGATTCTAACCGGGAAAAGTAGAATAACCGGGTATCTTTGGAATACTGATTTCAACATATTATGATTTGGGACACACTAATTCTAATTTTCAATACTATTTAGGTCAGATAGTATGCGAATTGGGATGCAGCACATCATTGGATTGCAACAGGCAGTGTTTTGGGTGATGTGCATTTGAATGATAAACTTCACAGAGTGAATGGGGATACAATTTTCACCCATTACTTAAATTCTGCTCTGTACTGCATACAAAACTATTTAATTCCACCAGAATGGACTGCGATCGCAACACATTATCATCAACTGGTACCACTTTTGACATTCTGATTCCACTTGTCTGTTAGGCCATTTCTAAATATTTTTAAGAACTGGTTATGGGTAAGTTTAGAGGTAGGAGTGGGATTAGCTGCTCAAAATATCTTTTTAATGCCATATTGTTACCAAAATTGTCAATTTCCTACACGTTTCTGTCCACTTAATATATCCTTTTTTTATATAAAATGGTTGTTTGGTTTTCTGTGGTAGGGTTAAGGGATCTACAATTTATCTATAAAATGGAAAAAGGTAAATTATACAACTATCTTTGATATAAAAGATTTGTGAATATTTTACCTTTCTTTAAATGTTGTCAATATTGTACATTTCAGCATACAAAAATGTATGTTTTGCACCTGAAAATGTTACATATTGATACCTACGTATTAACAATGAGACCAGGCTGGCAAATAAGAGCATTATGCCAGATGCATTAAGCAAACTCTGGACAAACCAAGGATTTACAATGAGCTGTGGAAAACCATTTTAAGTGTGAAAAACAAGTGTCGCCTTTTTCACCTTTCTTCGCCTTTGTCGCCATTGGCTTTTGACTTGCTTAGTAGGGAAGATTTAGTTTTATATTTAACAATATTATTACAACATTATTTTCCTCTTATTTCTATAAAGCTGCTTTGAAACAATCTGTATTGTAAAAAGCGCTAGGTAAACAAATGTGACTTGACTTGATTTAACTAAACAGCCGCCAGAGAAATGTGAATTGCAGCTATTATTTATTTATTTATTAATAATAATACAAAACACTTTAGGGTTGGAGTAATTCAAGAATGCCGAGCATCTCTGTTGAGTAATATCAGGAAAATATGCACCATCACATATGGGATATACAGAGAGAAAACAAGGAGCACAGAGGTCAGAAGATGCCCCCTTTTTCATTGTCAGTCATCTCATTTTTGGTGCCAAAAAGAAAAATAATGTCAGCAAAACATGAATATGAATTAATTCATTTCATGAATTATTTATTTGGACAGATTGCCATTTAAAATTAGGCCACAACAATGAAATGTGAGCCAAAGGGGAACCACCAAAAAAAAAAAGAAAAGGTTATGGCTCAGATGTTATTTTTTTAAATTGAAAAATGAAATGGAGGCACACATGCATATATCAAGCTTTAGTCTTATTAGCAGTCTTTAGATAGCTTTGGAATCATCATATTCTTTTAATAGTATTTAGAGTTATACATACAACATTTATTAATGTCCTGACCAAAAAAAGTAAATGTAAATGTCGAACAAACTACATTTTTGAGTAAACAAAATTGTCAGTATTTAATAGAGTGTAAGTGTTTGTATAAATACATCTGGGTTATTGTATGGCACCATATTGCTCAGATGGCCCAGTTTAATAAATCAGTCAAATAAATCTGAGTTAGCGTGTGAAACTATAGCTTTTTTATACAAGTGCAAAGATAGTTTTCATTTTTCTGCTTTTAGTAGACAGGGAAAGGTACTGTACAAAATAAAATGAACTACTGTTTTATGTATTGGTAAACCTTTAAAACACACATTATTGCATAACATTTTAATTAGGTTTACAGTTTAAGGAAACTATAGTCAGTTCTCTTATCATTCTTATTGTGACAAATCTGCAAGATTTGCATAGAATTTTGGAGCCTATGGATCAGCCATCTGTCAAGATATTGTCTGTTTATACTGCTGTTGTGGACTTGATATTTATTTTCAGAAATAGTCCTGTATCAAGACAATTTTTGTGTGTGTATATTTCTAAATATAGTTTTAGTTTCTTGTTTCTCAACTGAACTCAACTCAACTGTAAGATTGTGCTCTTAATTACCTTAATCACTGTTTTTTGATCCTGGTGGTTCCAATGTGTCCCTAAATACATGGTGAGTCTGCATGAGCATGCTCATAACCACACTCATATCTGCACTTTTGTATATGTATTATTTTTGCTCTTTTTTAATGTATGCAATGGGCACTTTTACACTTTTAGTACACTAGCTAAATACCCTATTATTATGGGGAGCATGTATGACATGCTTTTGTTGAGCGTGGGGGGCTGCGCTGCTAAAACTGTGATAGGAGTCTTGTGCCTGGCTCTGTCCCCCAGGAGTATTCTGAATGAGGGTGTCACTTGCGGTCTGTACCCCCCATTTTCCCAACACACACCATTCCTCTGTCCCGTGTCCTCCCCCACTTATGCTCTCCGATCTCCTGGGATAAAGGGGCCAAACAAAGAATGAGTGAGGCGGCACAGGCTGGGATGATGGGGTGGGGAGCTCTGTGGCCCCTGTCTTATTAGAAGGGTCGTGAATGTGTCAGAATGATTAATTTGCAGAGGTGCACAGGGATAGCCTTGAGCCACATTTACCCAGAGTCTGAGCTCTCTGGCACACACATCCCCTGATGTGTTTAGTTGATATTTGGAAATTTAAGAAAAGAAAATATGAATCAAATGCATGCAAATAAAATTATTAATTGTATAGAAGTTTTGACCAAGCTATATCACTCAAAAACTACAACAACAGGTAATAACATTACTAAATCTTTAACAAAATTCTGACATTTAAGTGTGTTATTGTTTTATCCCCTCCCCCATCCACGCATCATTCAGTAGCAGAGAACTAAATGTCATTATTTATAATGTTTTTTTGTTTGTTTTTAAAAGCATATTCTTTTCACCACTGAACATCACCCTTTACCATCAAACTATCTTTAATCAACATCAAAATACTGCTCATCAACTATGATTGGAGCTTTAATAGATCAGAAGACAATGTAGATATCATTAATGGAATAGCAATCTTCAGGGCTTAAAGGGTTAGTTCACCCAAAAATGAAAACTCTTACGGGCTTGAAACAACATGAGGGTGAGTAAATAATTTTCATTCTTGGGTGAACTATCCCTTTAACTTTAACCCCCTGAACACTGGGGTGCGTGTGAATAATCTAAAGAGACAGGCAGCATGGTACGTTTGCTATGGTCTCTGTCACTCTGTTGACACAATCTCTGAACTTGTTGCTAAGACCTTAAAGCAAGACCTGTGGAAAGTATGATGTTGCAAGAAGTTGCCAGAATCATTGAAGACTACAAATACATTGAGATAAATATAACACATTGAATTGACTGAAGCTGAATGACAATAAAAATAACTATTGTCTGTAGAGTTTCTTATCCTAACTTAACTTGGTTCAAAATTTAACTTTACACAGTTATTAAACTGAACTGAACCAACACTGAAATTACTTGAGTTGAGTAATGACACTATTGTCGTTTTAGCACTGCTTAATTTGAATTTCTTGTTTAATGAAGTTCTCACAATACCTCAACATTTTTTTGCAAGTAGAATGTAGAAATTTATTTTCTTCTTTTTGACAGAGGAAAATGCATCAGTTTCTCAAACTAGATTCTTTGTTGTATTATCTAGATGTTGTTGTAATCTGTGTCATTCATTTTATTTCTTTATCTTGGTTAGATCATGATTTGTTTCTTCTTTCGAGGCGGCAGGAAATGAAATAGCTTTCTTCTCGCAAAAGAACAATAGACTAAATCTGATTTTCTATATAGATATTTTTGGTCTTGAATTTGACTTGAAACTGTGCAAGAAAATTCAACGGCCTTAAAAATATCATAATGTTACAATGGTTTCTTAAGGATTATGTAACACGATTTTTTTTGGAGACTGAAATACTGGCAGCATTTTTAGCATATTTTTGACAAACTAAATGCTACTTCAGTTTTCTTTAAAAAAAAAAAATGTAGTTCCAAACCTTTGTTTGGAATATTGTCTTAATTTAAAATAGGAGAGACTGCATGGGAGCAATTGTGACACTGTTCAGTAACAGTAACACTCAGGGAACCAAGACGTTACCTTTCAGTTGGTCACGTTTGACGTAACGTCGGCATCACCAACGTATTGGGATCACTAACAAAGTGCCACGCTTCCAGCACGCTACGTAAGCCTCCTAATCCCCCCGCAACACTTGGAGCGGAGGATGGGACAGGGCGCAGAAAGTGTCTATCACTGCTGTTCCGCATGACCTACTCAGTGAGACTACTGGATAACACTGGGAAAGCGTGCCCTTTTCAGGGGAAAGGGAGCTCTGTGGTAGATGCCCGTAGGTAGGTATCATGAGGAATAACACTTATGGACTAGCCAAATAGGGCTGTGCTAGTGTGCAACATATGGAATGTCTCTGAGGTGGCTCCGGCCCAGATAGGAGGGAATCAACACCGGCAGGGATGGCAATAGAAAGACACTGGCTCAAAGTAGGGAGCCGTACCGTGGAAGAATACACATATGGGATCGCCGTAGGGATCACAACATATGTTAGGTGTTGTGTTAGGTGGAACAGAGGGTGTGGGATACGGCTTCACAGCGGCCTCGGAATACACACTGCTGTCCGCTGGCAATAAGAAAGGTGGTCATGAGTGGCAAGGCATTGCGTGTGTGGCATGAGTGGCATACACTTGAGTGGCATACACTTGCGTTACCACAAGTGTAGACATCGGCTGACCCAGAGTGCACTCAATGACTTTTGTCACCCGTAGGGTGAGTTCCATTGCAGTGCGCACCTCCTGCAATAGCTCTGGATCAGTTCTACCCTCGTGTGCCTGCTTTAGTGCCTTGGCCTGGTGGACCTGTAGGAGATCCATGGCGTGCAGGGAGGAGAACGGACGAGAACTTACAGGCCCTGAATGGATCACCTGGAACACCCTGCCAGGAAGTGCTTTTAGGACACAAATGCATTGCAACAGCGTGCTCCACTGGGGAATGTCCCTTTGGCCGCTCTTCCATTGAGGGTAGTAAGGGTGGATGAGGTACCAGATCGGTTTTGGGCATAACCATCAGCTCCGGGTCAGGCTTGGGCAACGGTACTTTCCCCAAAGGGGGCAACGCAGCCAAGTCTTCATCCCCAGAGGACATCAGCTCACCCTCCGATGCAGCAATCGACATCTGGTCGTCAGGGGGAGCCCCGATTGAAACGACCGCCCCAAGGGATAAGCACACAGGGCATAACCACGGCACAACTGCAGGGAAAAGTGCAAGTAGTATGAGCTCACTCTCATTGAACCGCCGCGCAACAGGCTGTATAAACAGCAACTCTAGCTGTAAAAACAGCTGTTGTGACAGACTTGGTCTGTAGAGATTGCGTCACCCACTGTCTTGGCTTAACACCAACACCAGGACAAAGGGCTTCTTCCTGAAGAACGCTCGTCGTTAGTAGCACACTCTCAGGAGACTGGAACAAAAAATGAAAGCACTGCTCGGCTCCGAAGTGAAAGCCAAATGTGCATTACATCAGCTTCCATATTTATAAGCAGCAGGACCTGCGGGGTGGAACACAAGATGCAAATCTTGCACACCAATGTTCATTGGCTGGTTTAGTTTACACTTGAAGGTAATTGGGCTCTTAAGCGAGATCCCAATATGTCGGTAACGTTACGTTGAATGTGACTGACTGAAAGGAAACAGCAGTTTTAAGGAGAAAATACTCAGCAATGGAGTGGACTGATTAATTTGCCCATGGTTTGTCTTAAAGCAGAATATAAACACCACATAGACATATAAACCATATTGAAATTAAAATCTTGATTTTCACCACAGGGAGTCTTTAATTGTTATTTCACTGATTGCAAAGTGTTTAGGTCTGAAGGCAGTAAAGTAGAGCTAAACCATGATGCTCCTTCCACCTTGCTTTACAGATGGGACGAGGTTTGGTGTGTTGTGGTATTTTCCTTTAAACAAAGCACTGTGCAACTTTTGTCTTAACTAATATTCTTTTTGGCAGCAGTGCTTTCTAACTTATTGTTCTTTAATGAACATCATTTGTGTTTCTTTTTCAGATAGTAGTACAAAAAAAACATTCTAAGTTTCTAGAGCTTTTTGGGGGTTACATGCATTTTCTGTAAAGCTGCTTTGAAACGATTTGTATTGTAAAAAGCGCTATACAAATACATGAGAAGTGAATTGAATTGAATTGAGTCTTTTTCTGTTATCCTTGTGAGATTTCTCACCTCTTTCAAGATTGTTTATTGTGTTCTTAGAGTGATCTTTCCAGAATGTCTTCTTTTAGAGAGGTGCAACAGTCTATAATTTTCCACATTTGTAGACAGGGTTTTATAAAATGGATAGTTTTGGTTTTTGGTTATAAATGACTGAGCTGTTTTTGAAGCTGTTGAAGCAAGATTTCTTTGATTGTGTCTTTTGTCCCATAGTTGAAAAGCACTATGTCTGGTAGCTATATGTCCGCGCTACAGTCGTGCTCAGAATTAATGGCACCCCTGGTAAATATGATGAAAACTGGCTGTAAAAAATAATTCTGCATTGTTTATCCTTTTGATCTTCCATTCAAAAAATTTGGCAAAATTCTAACTTTTCATTGAAGCTAAAGAATTGAAAGTGGGGGTAAATCACACTATGAAATAAATGTTTTTCTCCAAAACACTCTGGCCATAATTGTTGGCACCCCTAGAATTTAAAAATATCTCTGAAGTACATTCCCATTAATATTTAATTTTTTAAGCAAATCAGGGTGACTAGGAACATGAAATTGTCCAGCTATGACTTCTTGTTTCAAGGAGTTTAAATATGAGGAAGCACAAAGGTCAAATTCCCTGAATCATCCATCACAATGAATAAAACCAAAGAACATGGTTCTGATGTGCATCAAAAGATTGTTGAGCTTCACAAAATAGAAAGTAGATGTAAGAAAAATCCTCATTTTGACCATCAGGACAATAATTAAGAAGTTATAATCAACTAAAGATGTTATGATTCTGCCAGGAAGAGGACGTGTGTCTATTTTGCCTTAATTTTGCCTTAAACTTTCATCCTCACCTAAAACGGTGAGGATGAAAGTTTGAGTGTCCAAAGACTCTTCAAGGATCAGAGATGGAGAATTGCAGAGATTAGTTGAGTCTTGGGGTCAGAAAACCTAAAAAAAAATAAATAAAAAAAATCAGACAACCCCTACATCCCCACATGTTGTTTGAGAGGGTTTCAAGAAAAATGCTCCTCGCTCATCTAAAAACAAACTCCAGCATATTCAGGTGTCAGACACGACTGGATCTTCAAACGGCACAGGGTTCTGTGGTCAGGTGAAACTAAAAAAGGGGCTTTTTGGCAGCAAACCCAGCAGATGTGTTTGGTGCAAACAGGGATGAAGAGTACCCCATATGCCTACGGTTAAATATACTGCTGGATCTTGTATGTTGTGGGCCTATTTATTTGCTGGAGGTCCTGGACATCTTGTTCCGATACATGGTATTATGGATTCTATCAAATACAAAAAGATAAAAAATAAAAACCTGACGCCTTCTGCTAGAAATCTTATAATGGGCCGTGGTTGGATCTTCCATCAGGACAACGATCCAAAACAAAAATCAAAAATCAACACAAAAATTAGTTACGGAGCACAAAATGAAGCTTCTGCCATGACCGTCCCAGACCCTGACCTGATGAGTGGAGTGAACTGAAGAGATGAAGCACCAACATGTATCTGGGAATCTGCAGGATCTGGAGAGAGTCTGTATGGAGGAATGGTCTCTGATCTCTGGTCAGGTGTTCTCCAAACTCATCAGGCATTATAGGAGAAGACTCAGATCTGTTATCTTGGCAAAAGTTTACAGATCTGAGGTTGCAAAAAGTTTAGTAACAGGGTGCCAATAATTATGGCCAGAGTGTTTTGGAGAAAAACATTTATTTCATAGTGTGATTTACCCCCACTTTCAATTCTTTTGCTTCAATGAAAGGTTATAATTTTGCCAATTTTTTGAATGGAAGATCAAAAGGATAAACAATGCAGAATTATTTTTTACAGCCAGTTTTCATCATATTTACCAGGGGTGCCATTAATTCTGAGCACGACTGTATATTGGCGCTATTAGTGAGTGTGATAAGCTGCTGCTCAGAGTGTTGTGCTCGCGGCTTGCCGTGTTTGATCAAATAAGCTCGCAAGCCTCGTGGTTTAGGAATTTTCCCAGCATCTTCGGCATCTTCCCGGTCCTCGTCTGAAGATTCAGATGTTCTCCCGCCATGTGCAGGAGCCCGCGATGCTGCTTCTTCCCGCGAGGTGGAGGAACAGATGCGTGTCCACTTTTGAGGAATCGGATGTTCTAAACATCGGAGTGGGTGATGTGGAGCACAATCAAAATGAAACTCTGCTTCACGCACCTGCTCAAGAAGAGCTGGTGGAGGTTCTGACCCGCGCTGTGGCCCAGTTAAAGGGGTCATGAACTGGCTTTTTAAATTTTATTATATTGTTGTCTGAGGTCAACTTATGACGTTCGCTTGGTTTTTGCATTCAAAAACATCAAAATGAATAAGTAATAGGCTATTTTCTACCCTAGTTTTGAGCCTAGCTCAAAACCGCTCGGTTTTTATGGGCGTCTCGCACTGAAGACTTGGACGTAAACGCCCACTGCAGTGAGTGGATAACAGTTTTGCATAGTATAATGAGTTTCAACTCACCCGTCGGTGCACTTGGAGGAAATTGTTTTGAAAACGTCCAATGTTGGCAAAATGGCAACCGGAATGATTCGCCCATACATGTTCGACCCAGAGTCCATGTGTTGCACAATTCCTGTCAGATCCAATATAGACGGCTCAGCACTGTTCTTTGATCTTAATCGGTCTGCAAATCCAGTCTTGTTTACAAAAAAGTGAAATGAAGTGAATGGACGGACAATGTTTACCTCATCAGCTGAAACGTCATTAAAAATAAAGTTTATCCATGCAGTCCATTTGGAATCCAGAGGAAGCATATGCAGCGACTGTCTTCTTCCACAACCAGGCACTGCACAATATTCTGTATTGCTCAATAGCTCGATCCGGTTTGTCATCACAAGGTAGGCCTATGTTATTTAGCTATGCATGAATGCGCTAATCGGTGAGCGGCGGGGCTAAACCGGCCCCGTTGATCTTCTTCTTCTGCGGGGGTGGTGTTTTATCGTCTTTTACGTCATAGTTCCCCACTTTGAAAAACGAGTCATTTGCTAAGGCCTGTGTCAATAAAAGCTTTTATTGGACTAACAAGGACATTTTGATTTCTCAGTCCTTTAAATTTGATTTTCACCACTCCTTTAAATTTAGATTCAGGCCCTCAGGCCACAAGAAGAACCAGAAATCCAGCTGCCCAGTAAGTTGGATGAACGTTTTTTTAAGTGCCGGTCTCAGCCTCCACGCCGGGGCCTTCTGTTTTTCCCTAACTGCAAGTAATGAGTTCAGACTGCATGATTTTAGCCACAATTTTGGCTCGCCGACAGGTTTTGAGAAATCACCGACAAATGCCCGAAATCACAGGCAAATCGGCGCTCGTTCACGCGAGTGACAATCACGCAGTGTGAATGAGCAAAGACGTGATCTGAGAGAATCACCGACGAGTCGCCGACGCCCGTGAGATATTTGGCATGCTATATATCTGGACCTGTCGGCGATTCAAAATCCTGCTGTGTGAA